AGCAGTCACATGTCGAAGTGTCCTTGGGCAAGACACTGAACCCCTCATTGCCTCTGATGTGTGTCCCATCAGTGTTTGAATGTGATAAAGCTCTGATTAGTCTCTTTAGAATGATTTGTTCAATTAGCTTTGTGTAGAGATCTAGTAGAGATTATGATTATTTAAAATAAATCCGATTTTTGGTTTACCTTTCAAGTCCCACCATGTCTGCCAGCATCCTGACCAACTCCCTACACCGACCGTGACGTTACAACTTTTTGCCAGCTACTGTATAGTTTTGTTTTGTCACAGTTTTTGAGTCGCTAGTCCTCTTCCAGCTTTGGAAAACAGAACCTAAAATATGTGGCTCAAATCAGAAGAACGGTTGTACGGTTTTTGAGACGAGATGTGTTAAAAGGTGTAAATCAACTTATCACACCTTTTAACACAGCAGTTCTTTTGTACACGATATTGTTTATTCATGTAATTTCCACAGAACCCCACATCGGCATGTTCCTTTAATCTGCTTGTGTCTTAGAATCCAAGAAAGCTGAAAGAGAAGAAACATCTTTAAGCAACAATGTTCAGAAGCACGCACTGTTCTCTGGGTGCAGATCCAAATATGTTCCACTTTTAATGTCTGTTAAGTTGGTGTTTGTTCCCTGCACAGGCTGTAGCTCGTTTGGGTTTTTATCTGTAAAGTCACCAAAGAAAGAAGTGGCTGAGGCCAGGAGAGAAGAGGAGAGAGGTGACATGAAACCTGCCTGACTGCATCACAGATGGCAGCAGGACAAAAAGGCTGCTTCTTCTCACCTTCTCTTCTAAACCTCTGCACTCGTATAAAGTGTGAACGTCGTTTGTCACACCAGTTGGTTGTCGTTTGAAATATGATTGACCATCCACAGAATCATAGAACTCACTGATGCCGAGTTAAAGCAGACAGAGTGCATCATATTAATATTGTATGTACACATCCATGCACACATGCAGACACATACGCTACTTTACATTCTTCTCTTTGTTCCTCTGCACCATCCAAACAAGTGCTTTGTAATCAGTGAAGCAGGTGGATTAGAGGAAATGTCTGGTTTCTCCCTGGAGAACATGATGGCAGCTAGACTGATGTCTCCTACTCTATGCTGCAACAACAGCTCCCTGGCTTATGAACAGGGTTTAATGTCAACTCCATCTCTGTCCACCAAGTGGTAAAAGCTAAAGCAAAGGGAGGACTTTATTTATTCTTTTGGCTGAAGTCCACGAATCAGAACAAAAACTGCACAGACTGCTGATAGCTCTTCCATGTACTTTTGGTACAACGTCAAAAGACAGCAGGCGTGTTTTAAAAATAAAAATGAAAATAAAAGCTACAGAACACTGTTTGAATTTTACCCAAGTGACATTTTCAGAGATGATGGCTGCTTTACATGTTGATTTGCCTCTGACGTGCTCTCTGCCAGTCTGTTGTGGTGAAGATGGAGCCGAGCTGGAAGTCTCTCTGTTCACTGGTTGGTCAATGTTTCTACCCTCACCAGTGGTCACAAACCAACCAAAGGACGAGATCGTGGATCCAGGTGGTCTACAGAAGTTTTCTCTGCAGGGAAGCAAAACTCTCCCTTAGAGACAGAGTGAGAAGTTCAGTTATTGAGGAGAGACTCCAACAGGATCCAGTTGAGATGGTTTGGGCATGTGATAAGGATACGTCCTGGAGGCCTCCCTAGGGAGGTGTCTGACTGGGAGGAGACCCTGAGGAAGCCCCAAGACACACTGGAGAGACATTGTCTCTCAGTTGGTCGGAGAACACCTTGGAGTCCTCCCAGAAGAGCTGGACGTGGTGGTTGTGGAAAGAGATGACTGGTTCTCCCTGCTTCAGTTGCCTTTGTGACCTTTGGAACAAATGCAAGATAATGGATGGATGGATGGACAGATGGATGGATGGATGTTGATTTTCCTAACTTGAAGTGATATTTCAGATCTTGTGAAGATACCAGTATGTGGATAGTTTGAGATCCCCCAATTCCATCCACATCATTATTGTTATAAATATGCTTAACTCTGGAAAACTCAAGGTTTAATCCTGAACGATGTAAACAATTTTAACGCTGTGCAGTTTTTTCATTCCACCTTTATTTAGACAGGTTAATCGCATTGAGCCTCAATTCAATTCAGTTTATTTATCTAGCGCCAAATCACAACAAAGTTGTCTCAGGGCACTTTACAGAAACATTCACAAACATAAAAGACAGTAAAGTTCTCTATCTCAGGAATCCAGCAGACAAGATGAATCTTGGCTTTGTTGCAGTCTCACATCCTGAGCAAGCACAGTGGCAACAGTGGAAAGAAAAAACTCCCTTTTAAAAGGAAGAAACCTCCAACAGAACCAGGCTCAGGACAAGTGGCCATCTGCTTTGACCGGCTGGTTGAAAGGACAGGAAGGAGAGACAGACGAACACAGAATGGTTCCTCGAGGACTCATTTACAAGGGAGACCTGATTCCAATAAAGAATGAACACAACAATGGACAACAGCGACAACAATAGACAATTATAAAAAGGCATACAGATTTTATTTTATTTTTACTTCGTGTAACACTTTTTTATTTTATTTTCCAAAAAACAAACAGACACAACACAGGGTGTAGTTATAAAACAAGCTGAAATATAGAAGGCTTAAGAAAAAAAGAATTTAATTAAAATAAATTAATTAATTAATTAATTAATTTAAAAAATAAAACAAAATAAATAAACACCTTGGGATGAACATAACATAAGTACATGGGCACAAAGTTACTAGACATTATCATTTCCAGTTAAATATAATTTCCAGAAATTCACCCACTGTTAAGGTCTGTGGGTGATGTCAAAGGCGAACGGTTTGAAGCAAGGACTAAACAACTTGAGGTAAAAAACAATTA